TTACAAACTAATTAGGAAGACATACACAGGAAAGAGTTAGAACACAGTTTGAGTCTATAAGTGCTGATGAATTTTGTAATACAGACAAGGTGTTGCAGGAGTTCAGAAAAGGTACAGGTAATTTGGGTTTGGGTGGTCATTGAAATCTTAATGGAGAAATGGCCATATTGAGCTTCTCAAAGATGGCGTAGATTTGAATTGGTTGAGAATCTAAATGATACAGTGGATGGAGAGTAGGCCTAGGAACCAGCACCTCTGATACTGGTTGTATATCCTAGACTGGAGTCTAGAATGTGTGCAAAATATTATGGAATAAGATTAGAAAGATAGGTTGGGCTAATACTGGGTAAGACACTTAACTGCTGAGTGGTCCAGACTCACTCTAAGGCTTTAAGCTGCAGAACAATTGCTGATCTCCATTGGTAGAAGGTGTTCCTCTCACCAATGAAATCATCATCCCTACCCCGATTCCTCTGCCTTACTCTCTCCCCTTCCCCTACCAAAAAAAAAAAAAAATATGAAGGAGGGGAGAAAGGTAGATGCAAAGACAAGGAAAGGAGAATAAGCATTATGTTTAGAAGTCATATTAAAAATAAGGTTAGATGGCATTCTGGTATCTCAGTATAAGTATTCAAACCTTGTTCTCTTCTTGTCAATCACACAATCTATGACTAGCAAGACTTGTGAAGTTGCTTATGATTAACAGAGCAAATCCCTTCACCTAATTCCTCTCTCCCTCTCCTATACCCAAAGCCCTTGGGCAACCATACCTCCTCTGGTACAGTCAAAGCAAAATTTCACACAGTCACAAGGATAGAATGAGCACCGTAGACACCACCACCCTTTGACACATTTCCCAACCACAGAGACAAGTCAGCAGGACTGATACAGCACCAGCTGTCTGTGACTGGTTCACCAGGCTAGCTCTTTCCTTTCGTCTTACCCTATTATATCTGTGATTAGTCTTTGAGCATCACCGCAGCTCTCCTCCCAATCAATTACACAAGTCCCAACCCGTCGAAAAGCTCGAGTTCTGCTCCTACCTGGAACCTCACAAACTCGTTTGCCCTGCTCACCCCTTCGGCACAAGCCCCGCCAGCCCGAATCCTGGCGTTAAAGTCTTCACAACACCTAGAACCGTGCAAACACCTGGAGAGCAGAAGCTAATGGACCTCAATGCGGAGACTCAAAGTTTGGCAGGTTCCCCCAGCCCACACGCCACTCACTCCTCCACCTGCTCCGTGCCTTATCAGCATCCCCTAAACTAATCCGGAGTTAATGGTTCGATCACCTGAATTCAGCGGAAACCAGCCTGAGATAACTGGAACCAGGGAGACGAGAACTATACTCTGTCTGGGTGACTCTGGGGTCAATCCCTCTGGCCTGCCAGTCCAGGGAGCGCAGGCCCCGTGGGCACCTTTGGGTGTGGTGCTACCTGGGGCACGCCATGGGATGCTGCCGGGGAGGGACCCCACGGACCACCTCCGGGCAGGGGCGGCGGGTCTAGGCTTGGAGGACCCGGGCTTCTCGTCCCAGCTCTGCCGCTTACTACACCGGGTGACCTTGGGCTAAGCCGCGTCCCCTCTCGCGGCCTCAGTTTCCTTCCTCCGCAGAATGAGGGGGCTGGGTGAGGTCAGGGGCTCTTGCCCTTTTCTGGGCCCTGGACCCCTGAAGGGGTCAGTCTGATATGAAGCCCAGGGACCCCTAAGGAATTGCTGGAAAGGCTCAATCTCAGTTGGGGGGTTCGGGAGAATAAAAAGGTTTTGGGGTGCCCCCCAAGTCCCCGGCCGCCAACCTTGGAGGATCTGTAAGCGGGGCGCCGTCCGGCCCTGGCGCAGGGCTCCTAAGGACGCGACGGGGGCCCCCCATTCGCCCGCGCGGGGACGGCGCGGGCATGGCCCGAGGGCTGGGGCGCCTGCGGAGGGAAAGTTCTCCGGGCCGGGGATCCCAATGGGGAGGGGGAGGGGGCCGGGCCGGGGCGGGCGGCCCCGGAGGGGCGGGGCCCGTCAGTCAGTCAGCTCCCAGTGCTTACCGTGTTCCCGGCCCGGCCGCGCTCGGGTCCCACCGCCTGCCTCCCGAAGCTCGTCGCTCCGCGCCGCGCCGCCCCGGCCCCTGTGTTCCCTCCGAGTCTGTCCAGTCCCGCCCGGCCAGGCCCTGGCCACGCCCCTCCCCGGCCCGGCCCCGCTCCGACCCGCCCCCCGACCCGGCGCCGACGGCGCCCTCACCGTCAGCGGGCGCGCGCGCGCAGACCCCGCCCCCTGCTCCGACCGACGTGTCACGTCACGCATCACCTGACGTCGCGACACGAATCCTTGGACCGGGCCCAGCCAAGGAGAGCCTTTCCTGTGCTTCTTCACCCCTCAGAGGGCGGGCGCGAGGCTCTGATTGGACGAAGACTTGAGAGAGCGAAGCTAAAGGGGGGAGGATAATTCTAAGACTGACGTGGAAGGGGCGGAGATGGGAAACATACCTGGGAAGAGGGGTGGGGCCAGGGGGGCGGGGCGGAAATACTAGCCGGGGAGGGGGGGGGGGCTGGAACGCGGGGGCGGGCGGGGGGGCGGAGATAGGACGCAGAGAGTGGGCGAGGGGGCGGGGATAGGACGCAGAGA